ACTAACTTGATAGGAGGAATTAAAATGGGCATAATAGACAGTTAATGTCTCTATCCACTTAAAAGTAACGAGATGGATTTATAAGTCCCTTTAATGGCTGGGACCACACCAATAAGCACTTATTTGCGTTTGGGAAATGAGCTCAAAATAATTGCTTATTACGAGAATAAGCAAAAGCCCAAATTTTGGGGCTTATTTTTAAGTACTTATTCAATAAGTGCTTATTTTCCTTTATGGCTTATCTTTCTCCACCACATCCTTTTAAAAATGCCTATACTACCCCTATTTAAAATAAGTGCTTTTTCACCAAATGCTCCTAAATGCTTATTAAAATAAACACTTATTTTTAATCACTTATTTTTCAAATAAGCACTCCCAAAGCGTAAGGTCTTCAAGGGATTTACCCTTTCATTTAACCAAAATAGAAAAAAAAAAGAAAACAACACTATGCAACAAGCAAACAAATAGTTCTAAATTTTCTAATTATTATTGTTCTTATTACCATCCATCCCATCTTCATCATTATTTGGGTGCTCTGGTTATCCAAGGAAGAGTCACTAAGGGAGAAAATTAATTCAAAGTTAGCAGGTTGGAAAAGCAATTCACTCTCTCTTGCCGGTAGGGTTGTTCTTATTGACTCTGTGATTTCCATGATGCCCCCAATTCATAATGAGAAATTTCAATGTCCCAGCAAATGTTATTGAAGATATAAACAAAATCCAAAAAAGAAAATTGTGGAGTAAGTCCAATGGGAAAAAGCCATTACACCTTATGAGATGGGATAACGTTTGCTCCCCAAAAAGATGGGATGGTCTGGGGCTGAAAAAACTTCAATGGGTAAATGAAGCAAATATTGCAAAATTAGGATGGAAGATTTTGAAAAGTAAAGATAATTTATGGGTCATGGTGGTAAAGCACAAATATTTGAAAACAAACAATTTTTGGATTGTTGGTATTAAAAAGGGAATGGGGTGGAATCCCCCAGTCAAGGAAAGTCTTGAAAAAGGGAATGGGGTGGAAGTTGGGGAATGGTAAATCAATATATTTCTAGAATGACAAATGGATGGGAAATTCATCCCTTGTAAAAGAAAATAATGGTGAAAACATTGAGAATCCGGAGCTACTGGTTAGTGAATGTATTGATGATCAGAGGAAAGTACAGCTGTTCACGGGTCGGGTTGGGTCGGTTTACTGAGGTTTTTCCAACCGACCCGACCTGGTTGGGTTACCTGAGATGGAAACCGAAACCGACCTAGTGTTAAGTAAAACCGACTTTGTCGGTTTGAGTCAGGTTGGGTCGATTTGGGTCGGTTTCGGCTCTAAGTTCATCCATGCCCCCCATGACCCATGTGCCTGTGTGGTGCAAGTTTGGGTTGTCAGATATTTCAGTTTTTATGTAAAACTGAAATATCTTTATTTAACAGTTTTAAATTTAAAATATATTTAAATTAAAATCGAAATATATATTTAAATAGTTAAGTAGGAACTAAGTCGGTTCAGGTCGGGTCGGTTTCAATTTTTACACAAGAAAACCGAAACCGACCCGAACCATCGGTTTATGAATTTGTACAACCCGAAACCGACCGGTACTGATGAAAACCCGGTCGACTCGGGTTGGGCCGGTCCGGGTTGGGCCTTCTTATGAACAACCCTAGAGGAAAGTTTGGAGAGAGGAAAAAGTTAGAGAAATTGTTTCTACTTCTTCTTGACAGAAAATTAGACCCATCTTTGTTCCCTCAGTGAATAAGGATGATGAGCTTATTTGGAGATTGGAACCAAGAGGTAATTTTTCCATCAAGTCGGCTTATATAGCTAAAATTATGGAAAATAGAGACACGAGTGATTCATTTAATTGGAATTCTAAAGTTTGGAAACTATGCTTCCCCCCTAAATTGAAAATTGTTCTTCTTCTTCTTTTAAGGGGTAGGCTTCCCTCTAGGGAGTTTTTGAAGAAAAAGGGGTTTAACCTAGAGGACACTTGTGATAGATGTGGTTAGAGGATATCAATCATATTTTTTACCAGTGCACTTATTCTAAACAGATTTGGATGATGATTTACCCTTACCTAGACAGTCCAAAAGATGAAGATGGAAATATGAAGGTTTGGTGGGAGAGAATTTTGAACCATAGACAAGAATATAAACTAGAAAAAACAGCTTTTATATTATGGTTCATCTGTAAGAGTAGAAACAAAAAGATTGTGGAGACTCCCCCTCCTCAGGTTTTGGAGAAAGCAAGAATGGCTTTTTACGAGAATGTAAAAGTTCATCAAAATGAATCCGATAGAGAATTTTCAAAGAAGTAGCTACTGTTTATTTGGAAATCCCCAAAATGCAACACAATCAAAATTAATTTTGATGCATCTTGTATGAATGGTTTCAATTGTGCTATGAGGACCATTGCTAGAAATTATGGTGGAAAAGTTTTAGATATAAAAGCGTATTATTTGGGTAAAGCCACAATTAATATGGCCGAGGCCTAGGCTGCATGGGAAGCCCATAATCTAGCTTTAAACTTCAAAGATTGTCCCATAATTATAGAAGGGAACTCCAAGCTCGTCATTTCTTGTTTTCGTGGAGAAACCCAACTACCGTGGAACATACAAAACATCATTGAAGACTGCACTGCTTTGAAGACCAAGTTCGAGTTTGGTTTAGAGTACCGACATGTCTTTCATGAGGCGAATCAAGTTGCTGATTGGGTTGCTCATCAGGATCAATTCAGTCCTTCAAACTCCTTAAATTTTAGGGTAAAATACAAAAACTTTCCCTGAGTTTTCTAACAATCATGAAAACCTCCCCTGTAGTTTCACTTTAATAAAAACCTCCCTTATACTTTTTAGGAAATACTCAACTACCTCCCTCCCTAGACAAAAAAGCCAATCAAATGTGTTTGTTCTTTTAAAATGCTTATTTTGCCCTTATGCCTATCTATTTATACGTAGATTTATTAAAATACCCTCAAAGCACTATTCATTTTCTTTCGAGAACTGAGAACCAGAGCCACCAACCTTCTCTATTTCTTAAGTTTGCCCTACTATCTTTAGTTTGCCATGTCCATCATATGCCCATGGCCTTTTTCCTAAACAAAGCCAATTTAAGAGACTCCTGATCAACGCATCTTGAAAATGTCTCAGTGGATTGGCAATGATAAGGGATCCACCATTAGTAAGTAGAATTTTTGGAGATCAAATGATCTGTAAACATGGATCTTCTATGCTTCTGGTTGGCAATAATGAAAATCCAAAACCCCTCTGTGCTTCAAGCATCTTTTCTACATTTCAAGCAATCCATCGACCTTATAAATCTCAAAAAGACAATTGTTTCATCAAATTTTAGAACACCATGCATAATGAAATTAAAGAAGTTCAAACCTACTTAATTAAGAGCATAAGACAAACCATTGCAACTACGAGCCTTAACACCAAGCTTCAGAAGATGGCGTATATTAATGGTTGCAGCATCTATCAACATAAGCGCTTGTTGTTGTATAGCTGGACCAACCTTCTTCGCTGCAGCTGCGAGGATAGACACCATCTCTTTAATGGAGGTGCACTTAAGCAGTTTGTCATAAGCATACATCTTTAATGGAGGGCAAAAGAAAGGACAAGGACGAAGAATACATACCATAAGATAGAGATCATGGGGTGACGAGGAGGGGCATGTTTTTGAGTCCATGTGTGGGGGAAGCATTGTTGAGGAATGATAGCTGGTCTTGGACCTAAATCTCATCATTCAGATCGATAGCACCATCATAGAAAGGAGAAGCCAAAGTAGTAGCTAACAAAGATGATGTGGGCGGAGGAGAACCCACGACCATGTTGTTCATGCCATTTATTTCCACCGAGTAGGAGGTAGAGGAGCTGGAACCAGGACTTACAAGGTTGGTCTTGGTTGGGGATATCTAAGAAGGCGGAAGCAACCTAAGGCAACAATAGTGAGGTCGATGTTTGCACAAAGAGCGAATAAGCAAGGTTGAAGCCGTCACCATGCATCCACGAAGAAGGATCCTGTCTAAAATCGAAGGAGTTGGAGTTGCTGCAAAGAACAGAGATGAAGACAAAGGCGTGGATGGTGTTGGCAATAATTTAATAAATATAAGAGCAAAATAGGTATTTAAAAAAAACAAATACATTAAGTTGGATTTTCTGTTTAAAAAAGGGAGGTAGTTGCATTTTTTTAAAAAGTATAGGGGAGGTTTTTGTTAAAGTGAAACTATAAGAGGTTTTTATGATTATCAGAAAACTCAAGGGAGGTTTTTGTATTTTAATATCTAGGATCTCCCTCCCCCTCAAGGTTTTATATGTAAGTGTGATTCTTGGGGACGTGCTACCCAGGCTTGTGTAGCACCGCTTGGATTTATCAAAAAAAAAAAGGAAAGAAATCAAGAAATGGATTTTCATAATCATGGTTAAACTCAAGTGGGTTTTCACTTAAAGGGTCTTCATCAAAGAAAATGATGGAGATGAATTTCCTAAGAGTCCGTTTGGTTTGCGCGACTGAGATGGTTTCCCACGTTTTGTTTTGAGCGAACTGCTGGGATGTGATGAGAACTGGGTTCTCATTTTTTAGGATGTGGGGTCTCACCAAATAGGTGCGACCCCACTACGAAAAGAAAGAAGTGTGAAAATTTTATCAAAGGGAGGCAACCATCTTCTTCTTAGCCATCATCCAACCATCTCATCACCGACGCGATCTTTCTCGGAGGTAAGCTCATATTTGAGTTCCTCTCATGATTTTCGTTTGTTTATATACATTTTTTACCTATTTTCATGAATGAACTCCCCACGAGATTTCCGTTCGTCTTTTCATTATATCATTTTTCATCCCATCCCATCCTTTCTCGGCAACCAAACAGACACAATCATGATAAAAAACCCAAGCATCATGAAAATTTGGTATTATTGGTTGCTCCTTAGTTCTACTTACAAACCGCCTCGTGGTCGGGCTGGGGCTGCCCTTTTGGTTAAAGAAAAATCTTCTTACTTCTCACTGTCTCTGTGCAGCAACACATTGCTTCTATGCTACTAAACTTTTATATTCTTATCTTCTTTGTTTCCTATTATCCACCGTAAAAGAATAGGATGAAATGTAAACGGGTTCTTATGGAAGGATAATTTTCAATGGGCCTGCCTGTTGACACAGTGTTTTTCCGAGGTCTTCTCGTTAAACGGGTTGGCACTTTGAAAACGTTGAGCTCTATTTTAGGTTTTAATCATTACATAACCTGGCTATTTTCTGTCTGGTTTCTTGTGGTCTTTTCCACATTTAACAATTCAAAACCCTACTTTTCTTCTGATTGGATTTATTAGCAATATTAGCTTTGTTTTTTCTTCCCACTTCTTTATTTATTGCATCAGTTTTTTGTGGGTTTATCAGATATTTCTCTTTCTCTAACAGAATTTTGTTGCCCTTTTGATCAAATAGGTCGGAACACTCTCAGAAGCCCAGTATCTATTGTGCAGCAAATCTCTATCGAGTTCTTCTTCCTTCTTCTTTTGATAATCCTTCTTCTCTTCTTACTTCTGTTTTCTGCGTTTCTGATACTCCTGAAGGTAGTCTGTTCTGCTGGCTATTTGGCTCCTTTTGGGTTCGTTTCATTTTTCTTTGCTTACCTCTCTGGTCTGACACATCTGCTCGCTTTGAGAAAATGTTCTCTTGCAAGCGTTCCATCTAAAATTATTCTTGTCTATCTAATCTCTATAAATTAATCGGTGGATGTCGGTATTTCTCACGGCAATAATTCAGATCCAAATTTCAAGGCCTATTCTGGAGAATTCAAATACCCTTCGGTATTTAAACTGGAAATCTCTTTGAAAGAAAAGAGAAGGGATGGGGAACTAAAAATGGGAATGACTTCCGGATCTCTACATATGTATTTATCATCTTGAAGACTGGTTTAGACATAGATTTCGGAGTGTTTTGGTAGATTTATTGTTCTTGTTCTTCCTTTAGGGTCCCTTTCCTAGTTCTTTCCCTGTGATGAAATTCTTTGAAGCAAACGAGAACTAGGCAAATGACTACAGATGAGACAGGTGATAGCTCCTTGTGGAGTAGGGAGCAGGAGAAAGCTTTTGAGAATGCCCTGGCAACCCATCCTGAGGATTCTGAAGATCGATGGGAGAAGATTGCAGCAGATGTACCAGGGAAAACTCTTTCAGAGATCAAACATCATTATGAACTCTTAGTTGAAGACATTAATGGGATTGAGTCTGGTCGTGTGCCTTTGCCTTGCTATGTTTCTTCAGAGGGATCAATGGACTATGCAAGTGAGGCTGGGGCTGCTAAAAAGGGAGGTAATTTTGGCAATTTCCAAAATGATTCTAGTCATGGAGTGAAAACACAAAGATCTGATCAAGAACGCCGTAAGGGGATAGCTTGGACAGAGGATGAACACAGGTAAACTGATACCTGTTGATGTTTCTTTATTTTCTATAGCCCAAATGTGTAGATATATCCTGCGAAAGAAATACTGGTATATAACTTTACTTAGAGATTGGTTACTGTTTCATTATTTTATTGATTAGTGTGTCTCCATACTTTTAATTTAATATAATACCATGCTTTTGAGGAAATTTGTTTCCAACCTTGTGTTGTGCTTCACCTAGAACTATTTAATTTGTAGTTGTAGTTCTGCTTTTTAAAATATGGATGTATAGATATTTCCTGCAAATGAAATACTGAGAATTATTTATCAGAAAAAAATACTGAGAATTGGTCTATAGTTAAAGATTGTTCTTTATTGTAGATACACCATCCGCCTTTGGCTACTCCTATTCTTGTTTAAGGCCTGGACTTACTCCATGGGTCCCTTCTTAGAATCCGGCTTCTCACATGTTATCATGTTTCCAGACTTCCATTCTTCTTGTTTTGGTTCAATATATATTTCCTTCTTATTTTACTTTTGTTCTCTCTTATGTTAGAAGTATGGAGACAGCAAGACACACTATCAATAAAATAATGAAAAGAGTAGCAAGATAAGCAAGAGAATGGTCTCAACAAGGAGAGTATAGAGGCAGAACCTAGGTACTCAAGACATTGCAATGAGAAACGACTAGAATTTATCCCTAGATCATCTGGTTTATGATTTTCATAGGAATTAATAGCTTGGCCTTGAAATTTATCTTGGTCATTATACTGATTCACCTGTGTTGAGTGAAAGCTCCACTATGTGCTAGTCTGGTAAATCCCAATCAAATGAGGTGCTAGGTTCATGGTACTAAGGAAGTTGTTATTTTCAGTTTAGGGTTAGGATGGTTTCTAAAGTAATATCAGTTGACTAATTTACTGACTTAAAACTATATCTTTATAAAATAATTATTGCACTATCTTTGCAGTGTTTAGCATTCTCAGGAATTAGAATAGATAAGATGAAAAATCCATAAAGGGGACCAATTGAACTATCAAAAAGTAAACAAATAAGGGGACTAATTGGTTCTGTTGCTGGTGGTTTTGGTAGAGTGGCAGCATTAATTGTCTAATAACTATGGTAAATTCGCAGTATCAGTAGATGGTACTTCTGGGTGTTAGCATTCAAGCTAAAACTTTAAATTTAAGGATGACAAGTATCATGTGGTTTTCACAATTTTAAAATTTCATTACATTTTCTTTTATATCCATAAATTTTCCAATTTTTCCAAGATTATTGGCATTCTGATTTTACTGTGATAGAATCTGGTCTATGGGCTTGATTTAGAAGCGAGAATGAACCTTGGTTTGGATTAGTTTGAAAACATTTATAATTATTTGTAATCATAAATAATATGTGGTTCTTTGTCCTAATGCATCATTACTGTGAGGAATTCATTAAGCTGCAGAAATGATTAAATGCGTTATCAAATAGGTCAAGCTGTGAGGAATTTATTGTAATCTCTTTCTTATTATAATAAAGTTGATTTTATCATAAAAGGGGCTTGAATGCTATTGAAGCCCATGATTTATTTCATTTTTTTCACCTTGCTTGGTTGCTTGGAGTACTAGCTTACAAACAGGGATTCATCTGTTCTACTTTCCTCTTAAGAAGTGCCTTTTTGTTACTGTATATGGATGTTTTTGGGTTGCTTGGATGGATTGAATATTTATGTAAAAACATGGATTCAAAAGCTAAATCCCCATATTTTACTCAATTCTGCTCTGCTGTAATGGATTTTTGGAGACTACTGGAATTACTCTTTCAATTGTCTCCAATTCCAGTTCCACCCTGATCCCTTATCTAAAGACAGATTTAATGAACTTTTTATGTGATGCTCCATATGAAGAAATTTAGCTGAGAATTTTCTGTAGGAATTGCTGGGAGGTTTCTAATAGTAAAGGAAATCAATGGCTGTTTGCTAGTTTTAAAATATGCTTTTAATGGTTGAAATAGTAATATACTAATATCAGCCTGTTCTTTGTCTTCTAATGTATATGAGTAGAAATAAATTTTGAGAGCTTTCTAGGGTAGGGTTCAGTTTCTTTCTATGGTCTTATGAGGGTTACTCTTATGATTTGTTCTATAGTGACTTGGTAGATTTAAACTATATTATATTGGAGAGATTTACATCTTGCATAACTCCTTTAAGTTGTACTAGGCTTAACTTTGTTGTGTTTTCTTGGCATCTTTTGCCCTCCAAAGATCAGTCTTTCTTTAGGTAGTTCCCAGCGAACTTAACTTTTTTGGTAATATAAATAAAAAAAATTATTGATTAAAAAATAAAAAAGAAAACTTTATTGATAAAAGAAGCAAAACTACATCAGGAAGGTGATGAGAGATCACCAAAAGATCAAAAACAAAGCACAAAACAGAAAACCTGAAGAGATCTTTTGCAACAGAAACAAGAGAGTTGCAGAAATTAGGGTTTCAAGAGAGAGGAAGAAGAGAAGAGAAGAGAAGAAGAAGAAGAGGAAGAAGAGAGAAAGTGTCAAGAGGTGTGTGTTATTCACTGTTCACACCCTCAAAAGATTACTTTATAATTTGAGAAAATAATAATTACAAGAAGGCCCCTATATGGGTGCCCAAATACTGAGAGAGTACGAGAAAGGAAAAAAAAACAAAAGACACCCTTGTCTAGCCATTCTCAACACTCCCCCTCAAGCTGAGCATATATGTCAATCATGCCTAGCTTGGCAAGGTTCTTAGTAAACTTTGGATGGTGAACACCTTTAGTGAGGCAATCAGTTAGTTGGCCTTTTGACCTTACAAAAGGAAGGCAAATCTCTCCACTAGCAATTCTTTCTCTAATAAAGTGTTTATTCACCTCAATATGCTTTGTACGATCATGTTAGACAGGATTGTGAGCAATATTTATGGCTGCTTGATTGTCATAGTATAGTCTCATTGGAACATTTGCTTGGATGCCCATCTCAGTCAATAAGGTCTTCAACTAGAGTAGTTTAGACACTCCATGAGCCATTGCCCTGTACTCTGCCTCAACACTAGAACAAGCAACCACAGATTATTTCTTACTTCTTCAGGAAACCACATTGCCTCTAACTGAGGCACAATAACTGGATGTAGATCTTCTATCATCGATGGACCCTGCCTAATCAACATTTGTGTAAGCCTCAATCTTTAGATGGTCGTGGTCGGAATACAACATCCCTTTGTCAGGGCATCCTTTCAGGTAGGCTAAAATTCTGTTAACTGCCTGCATATGAGATGTCCTGGGTTCATGCATATATTGGCTAACCACTCCAATAGCATAGGAAATGTTAGGTCTAGTCAAACAAAGATACAGAAGGTGTCCCACCAATCTCTGATATACCTCCCTGTCTGGAAGAACTTTTCCTTCGGTAGAGTTCAACTTGTGGTTGGGATCAATTGGAGTTTCTACAAGTTTACACTCTAATTTCCCAACCTCATGAAGCAAATCAAGTACATATTTCCTTTGTGACAGAAAAATCCCCTTCTTGGATTTTGCAACTTCAATTCTAAGAAAGTATTGGAGATCACCAAAGTCCTTAAATCTCAAATTCAGAAGTAAGGAATGACTTTAACTGAGAGATACCTGTGATATCGTCACTTGTCACAACAATGTCATCAACATATACTATCAACATTGCTACTCTACCATCAACTCTTCTAATAAATAAGGTGTGGTCAGCTTGAGATTGAGAAAAACCAATCTTTAAGATGGCATTCCTAAACCTGTCAAGCCATGCTCTTGGAGATTGTTTTGGCCCATACAAAGACTTCTTTAAGTGGCATACTTTTCCATCACTGTTAAGAAAACTTACCCCAGGTGGTAAGTCCATATACATTTCCTCTTGTAAGTTCCTATTAAGGAAGGCATTCTTTACATCTATTTGATATAGAGGCCATGAGTAATGGGTGGCAGGAGACATGATTACACGAATAGAGTTCATTTTAGCAACTGGAGCAAAGGTTTCTAGATAATCCATGCTATAAGTCTGAGTGTACCCTTTGGCTACAAGACGAGCTTTGCATATTTCAATTGAGCCATCTGCCTTGTGCTTAACAGTATAAACCCTCTTACACCCAACAAGAATCTTATCTTTGGGGCAAGGAACAACCTCGTAAGTCTGGTTCTTTATTAGGGCCTCTATTTCTTGGTTCATAGCTTCCTTCCAGTGGGGGCACTACATTGACTCTATAACACTTCGAGGGATGGAAACAGAAGAGATAGCAGAAATATAGGCACAATATGAAGGTGAAAGAGCTTCATAAGACACATAGTTAGTGATAGGATACTTGTTACATGTCCTCTTCCCTTTTTGAATGGCAATAGGAAGATCAATGTTAGAATCAATAATAGGATTATCAGGAGGTTCAAGATTACCTGAATCCGGGGAATCAGATTGTGATAGGCATTCTACTTCAGAAGCCACCCTCTTATTGCGCCTAATGAAAAACTGCTGCCAGGACCGAGGTCGATACACAGGAGGAGGAGGAGGAGAAGGAATAGAGGTAGGAAGAGAGGGAGGAATAGAGGTAGGAACAAGAAGGTAGAAGGGAATCTGATCTTCACTTGCATTTTCCCCTTGAAGAGAAGGACAAGGTGACTAGAAAAAGGAAGAGGATTCCAAAAAGGTAACATCCTTAGAGACGTATCTCTTGCCAGAGAGAGCATCAAAGCATCTATAGCCTTTCTGGATTGGAGAGTAACCAAGGAATACCCACTTAATTGATTTAGGATCAAACTTGTGTCGGGAAGGACTCATATCATGAACAAAACAAACACAATCAAAGACCTTAAGGGGTAGATTAGAAGGAGGTCCATCAGGGAAGAGTAGTTGATGAGGAGAATGAAGGTTAAGGACCCTTGATGGGAGTCTATTAGTGAGATATACAGCTGTCTCAACAGCATCACCCCAGAAACGAGTTGGAACATGAGTTTGGAACAATAAGCCTCGAGCAACTTCAACCACATGCCTATTTTTTCTTTCAGCCACCCCATTTT